TATAAAAGAGTTATTCATTTTAACTTCTGAAATATTAAAAAGCTAACAAGTGTAAACATCTGTTAACTTGGGGATATGGCGTYATGGGTCTATGCGGTCGGGTAGCTTAGTGGTAGAGCAATCGCCCGGCAAGCGAGAGACCCGATTTCGATTCTCGGTCAGACGGCTAGATTTTTGACGTTATTTCCCCGGGAGAAGTTAACATACATCAGAAGTAGGATTTGRTCCGAAGGACGCAGTGTGACGTGTGTTGTGAAGGACCTGGACTTGTTCACCAAAGGTTGTGCGGAAGCGATCGCATTTGTGTTTAACGGGTCGTGCACTTTAGTAATCAGGTGGTGAAGCAACGGTAGCGGTGGGCGACGAGGGACTAGCGTCGATCAAGGGCGATCGGAGGACACAGGATGGTCGAATGTAAACATCTGTTAACTGGGGGATATGGCGTAATGGGTCTATGCGGTCGTGTAGCTTAGTGATAGAGCAATCGCCCGGCAAGCGAGTGACCCGAGTTAGATTCTCGGTCCGGCGGCTAGATTTTTGACGTTATTTCCCCGGGAGAAGTTAACACAAGCAATAGGATTAAAACATACACATAATATAAATATGAAAATTTATTTATCAATTAAGTAGTTATTAACTTTTAARCAATTTATTTACTGTATAAATATGTTAAAATAATAAAAATAAAATTATTACTTGAATTTCTTGAGCTCTCCGATTTGCAATGATTTTTTTATATGATGTCATGTCTTTTTCACGAGATCCATTAGAAATAGAAGATTTTAATGGCTTAGCACATACTCCATTCAAGAAATTATTTAATGAATCTAGAGTAATTAATGGTGTTGCTGGATTATAATCAGGTGGTAGCTATAATTGATAAATATTTTTATAGAAACATAAATTAAATTAATAATAAATGATTAATTCATTATTAATTTGTTCAATAAAAATGTTTACCTAGTACAGTGGAATCATTTTTGGAATGCAAGAATGTATGTATGTATTCGTTATTTTTTTTAAATACTCATTAGTAGGGTCCAGATTTAAATGCCCTAAACACTATCCCAAAATACTCTAAAAAAATAGTAAAAAATGCATTACCACAATTGAATAATGCCCTTAAAAAATGATCCAATAATTATTTCAATATTCTTGAGCAAACAAAAATACAATTTAAACACGATTTTGATGAAACATCAACAGACCATATGCAATAAGGYTTTGTTAATCCGAATGGACTAGAAAATTGTCGCATTGTTATATTAATACATACAATAGTCATGTATGTATTTATGTCATAATATCATGGGCGGATAGGCMATTTTTGGCCTACCAGAAAATTTTAAAAAGGGGCCTCCACATGAAAAAAAATTTAATAATATATGATATTAAAGGGCCCCATTACCAAAATACGAAGGGGGGCCCACCGGGAAATGCCCGGTAGGCCTATCCGCCTATGCATAATATAATAATATTTCGTGGTGATAAAATATATCGATTAAGTTTGTATATTGCACTTGTACTTAAATGTTTACGGGACAAGGCATTTAATCAGCACATAATAGTTATAGCATAATATATTAATATTACTATATTAGTGTCAAAAAAAATATTTTAAAGGAAAAGGTACTTAATATGTAATATACATATTAAATGACTGTAYATACATTATTAYAATTTTGAAATTAATTAATACAGTATGCATAATATATAAAAATATAAATTTAAATATTTAAATTCAAAAAAATTGATTGTTTTTTAGTCATAGGTGATCCAAAAAAATTAGTTATCCAAATGACCTCTTTCCCCAATCTTGTTTGTAMTAATGARACCCAACTATAATTGTTACTAATTTGAGTCTTGAAGGCATAACAGCTATTAATTGGACATTCACAATATAGATTGAAAAAATATGTTACCAACGTATCAAAACAATAAATAGTATGATTGACAAATGATGAATAGGCAGAACAACATTTCTTGGGCTAATATTTTGAGTTAACATTTAAGTTTAATATACAAATTTATATAACGTATAGATATGAACAAAACTTAAAAAAWGATTWAACAATTTATAAAAATGCTCTAAAAACTCCAAAACCACAGAAATGCAAAATAAATGTTTTCAATTTTTTGWTATATAAAACGGTATCCGTAACCTTTAACAAAAATAATGTATTTTTTCAATAAAAATCCGGGCCCTACTGATTTAGTAATGAGTAATGAYTTATGGGGTATAGATGGAATTATAGCCATCTCTGTAAGACATAATTATATACAAGTTTTTATTTTGTATGTTAGGTTTTATTTAGGTGCGCAATACAGTTTTTTAAATTATTGTGTTCTAAAAAGAAAAAAATAATTTTAAACTGTTTATGAATCCTACCTCCACTTATTACCCCATGGATAAGTATTTTAATTTTACAAGCATTGCAATTTGTCTTGAAATAAGTATCAGCAATGATTATATCTGTAGTCAATAAATAATGTAAAATGACACCACTGACCTAGTATCAAAATTTATTTTTAAAGAAATAAAAGTACTTACACAAAGTGGTATTTTAGACATATCTAAATATTTTATGAATCCATTCATCGATGTCTCATTATCAGAAGTTACATTGATATGTTGTTCCTCACTTAATGGAGGGGTTTCTTTAACCATTAAATTAAATCAAAAGTATAGTAAAATAAGATTGATATATATTTTAAATATTTTAAATAAGGTAGATCTAAGAACTTACTCAATTTAGGCATGGTAGGAGGAATACGAGAAAAATAAGGTGAAGGTAATAGTCTTTGGGGATGTGGCTGTGTAAATAATTGTACAATGCCAGATGAAGATAGATAGGTATGGTTATCACACAGTTGAAGGCAAACATTTTTTGATTTCACAGCAGCAGCACCAGATAATCTAACAAATTGAAGATGTCAGATAATTATAATATAATATATAAATTATTAAAAATTAGTTATCTCTTTACTTGTATCCAAATGTTAAATCAATCCAATSATGTAAACGTTCTGAAATATAGTTGCTTTCTAGTATAGCTCTATGTGTATYTACCAAATCTTGTACATTTTCTGCCCATGTTGGAATGCCCAAATCAGGTAGTTCTTTGTGTATGGACTAGTAAAAAGTAATGAATTAGTGCTAATTATTTTTAAAATGTCTTTTTAGTATTATCAATACTTGAAAAACTGATGGGTCTGTAAAAAATTCTGGTATACATTCATCTGGAGACCATTGTTGCATGCGTTGTATGCTAGTGGGATATTCTTCTGGTACAAATTTTGTTCTAATATAACGACAAAGAACTGATCGCGGAGTCACCCGAGATCGATACACATAGTAAGTTATTTCTGATAAAATGTCAGGAACATGATGTGGGGTCTAAAACATCAAATTATAAATATATAACAAAGACAATAATACCTAATATTTTTTTAATACATACCAAAATTGAAGTTTTCTCATCTCCAATGTCATAAGTTAAATCTAATTGCCTGTCTCCTTTATTTAGTCTGTACTTTGATTTGGTGAGATCCCGATAATTAAGTCCAGCTCGAGAACTAAAGTCAGTTACCCAAGGAAATACATGATGGCATTTAGGATCACCATATTTCCTACCAGCAAGTTTATTTAAAAACGTAATGTAGTCAAAGTTTGACATGTTTCCACGAACCCATTGTTCACAAGTATCTGCTAAATTCTCACAACTCAAACTTTTAACTGTTTCATCATAGCTGTTATCAAATTCATCAGCATCTGAAATATTGTCTGTGATTTTTGGAAGTACCTAAGAATAATAATGTTTAGAATTAATTCACTATCTTACGTAGGTATATGAATTATAAAAAGTAATAAATAACATTAACCTACTCGAATCCACAATTCCGGGGAAACAATGATGTCAGACAAACTAATGTCACCTAACACAAGTCCTTGGTCATGTGTGTGTTGCATTGCATTCAAAAGTTGATATAAAACAAATAGTGGACGAGCATGGTTAGATTTTAATAAAGCTGGACTATAATTTATACAATCTTGTAAGGAATGTACATTATTTGTTTCCTAAAAAAACAGTAAATATTTTTTACATTAATAGGCTACCATAAAAATAACTAAAAACAATTTACCTGTAGCAGGTAAAAATAGTTATTAGTTTCAAAAACTAAGTTAGCAGGCAAAATGTTGCTATGAGATTCATTTTCCGCTGTTGAGGATATTTTACTACGCAGTTCTTGTGAATTGATTATTGGACAGTTATAAAAACGGGTGAGTACATCTCGTATTATTGTATCATGAGGAGATAGACTTAGATTTGAGCATGCTAATTTTTCTCTACAAAAAAAACCATCTGAAAAATAAAATTGATAATACCTAATTGTATAAAATTAATCTAATTTTGTTATGTTACCAACAATACCAACATTTACATCATAAAATATGAAGAATACATTACCATATTTTTTATATGCTTCTTTCCACAAATTTTTTCTATTAGTAACTGTTACATATTGTAATTGTTGTGAATAACTTAAATCCTTRTCAAAATGTACAGGTTCATGTCGTCGAGCCAAAGGAATCATAGATTTATCCACTTTTTGTATAACCTTCCAAAAAATATTCAAAATTATTACATTAAAAAATAATATGTAAATAGTGTTTACATACAGTTATTAACACATATATCCAAGTATCTCCTAAACTCTCAATTTGTTGGACTTTTGCACGTACGTCATCGTTTGTAAATATCTCATGATGTAAAAACGGACGATAAATACCATTTAAGAAATCTCTGTGAAACAAAATAATTATTTAAATAATTAGTATAAAAATAGTTATAACAATAATTTAAAATCACACAATGAAAATTTTACCTAAACCAAATCCGATGGACACTGGCGAGAAATCGTTTAGAATTGTTGGTGGACTTCAAATATTCAACTGGAATTGTAAGGTCTTTTGAAACGACGTCCAGCCAAGCCATGACTAATACATTTAAGAATAATACATAAGGTAACAACTCATGATTTTTATATATTAAAGACAAATGAGGCGATGAGTAAATTTAGAATTTGAAATTTGAATATAATATTGATATGGGTATTCTGTTATTGTCGATTTTTTTATCTTTCTGTTTTTTGTTATTGTTTATTATTTTGTGTTATTATCACTACCCGCCCGAAAAGTAGTCACCTAGCGTCTAGCTTTGGTCACCCAACTTCAGTCACGTCGGAATTATTGTTTTTAAATTTTTATCATAGTATCTAAAAGCGTTTTACACCACACGTCCACACAACACTGACTGGCGACTGTATCAGTGGCCAGTGCATATTTTTATGTTCCATCAGCAAGAATAATGTGCACTGAGTGGACTTTTTTTTGTTTCACCTCAATGTACTACGCCAGTTTTTTACACTGAATGCAATGATAAGTACTATAAGGGTACATACGCACTATGCGGTTGCCCGCAATGCGGCCAGCCGTCCGGTTGACCGCAAGTGATAAACTATAAGCAAATACTGTACATCCGAAAAATTGTATTCGCACTACGTTGCGGTTACCCGCAAACCGTTCCGGTCGTTTGAAATGTTTGAATCGTTGCGGCCGCTTCGACGGCTGACCGCACGTTCTGCGTACGCAATGTGCGCCGTGTGGTTAGTCTGCGGTAAACCGTCATCGGCGTAGGTAACTCGATTTTTAATTTTTAATTATGGATTTTGATACTGAAAAGTTTATCATAGAAATCCAGAACCGGCAATCTCTTTGGAACACGAAGTGCTCAGATTATTCTGACAGAAATAAAAAACAAAGAGATTGGGAAGAGGTGGTGAATATTTACGGCGGTGAATTATCAGCGGAC